GACATAGACACTTGACTAATTTTACTTACAAATGGAGAAAAACAATCTCTGTTTAGATTTATGAAATTCACTGCCTTTAGATGCATCGTACATTTCCAACCAATGCTTGTATAACCTTGGCTTGATGCCATAATGTGAATCCATGTCCAAATCCTACAAACATAATCATAAAACTGCATTATACTTGTGCACTTAATAATAGTGCAAGGCAGATCCTATAACATTTAAGTAAGCCACGTGAAGATAATAGTACATAAAATTTAAAATGACTAGAAAAGGCAAAGTAAAAACATAAGGTGTAGTATATTACGAATCCAGATTTAATTTCCCAGACCTTTGGAACGCAACTGCCAAATTTAACTTCTAATTTGGACACAATCACTAATGTCAGGTAGACCATCCTCAGCAATGTCCTAGAGATAAGCTAGCAGGAAATCACCCATTTAATAAATCATTTTGTTCCTTCAGAGCATAATAAGAGTTTTATTTACAAAAAACTATAACGCCTTTCTTTTCCAATCCCTGTGAAGAAGAATCGTTGGTGATGTCATACATTGAAAAATTCTGCAAAAAACGATAAGTGTAGTTCTATACAACTAGCTTCATCCATGAATAGCAGAGGTCTTCCACCAGGATCCAAGTGGAGGAGTTACGTTTAGGCACAGATAGACGAACAATAATAATTTTAGGCATACAGGTCAGAAAAAAGAATCAAATCTCAGTAAGTATTGAGAAAGGATAATTTTACAATTGAAGTTATTCCAAGAAATACCAAGTAAAAATCAACAGCAAATAAAGGACAAGTTGTATTAAAATTACAAGTCTCTTGTTGGATTTATATTTTAACGTCTTCCTACTCCTTTTTAACTATATTCATACAGAAGGTATTTGATAAATGTGTTTCACCCATTTCCTCTAGTACAAGCAAAATAATAGATCCTCAAGTGGGCTCACATTGAGTTATGCTATTGGCAAGGGGATTTGAGTCTTTCACCCCTCTTCGGTATTTCTATGACTTTCCATCCCCATCACCACTTGTTTTGATTATGTGGCGCAATCCACCAATGATATCTTACAAGATGAACACTCATAGATGCGTCAAGGATGGATTTGCGAGTGGTAGAGACATCATTAGAGACCATATAGGGCACTGCTTGAGCGCGTTTTCATCATCAAATGGCCCATGTCTGATTTTGGAGGTCGAGTGCACAGCTATAATGGATGGGATTCTACTAGCAAGAGGATTTGGTATTTCAACTATTTGGGTTGAGACAGATTCGATTGTGGCTATTCACTGCATCACCGGAGGTGTAGAACCATCGACAATTCAGAGCATTCTTAGACAGATCAGAGACCTCATCTCCTTCGACATAGAAACGATTTTCCACATCTACAAAGAGGGAAACCAGTTTGCAGACTCGCTTACTTCGGAGGGTTGGGAACAATGCCGCTACCAGGAGTATGGACCACTCGACCTACCTTGACAGATTAGGGCACTTGTTTATTAACTAGTTTTCATTTGCATTTACTTTATTTGCATGGGAAGTAGTACTTCCCCATTTATTGCTTTTCATTTATTTTTTGACATTTGTTTCTCTGTTGCATTCAGGAGGTTAAGTTTATACCCCCTCCTTTCAAGTATACCGGCCTATTTTATGATATATATATATATATATATATATATATATATGATTGGTGATCTATGGTGGCGATAATGATTAGAGATAGGGGCGGACGCAAAACTTTAAAGTTATGGGGCACAATCGAATTTGCAAAGAAGTTGGAAGAAATTTTACAATCGAAAATTTACGTTCAAAAAAATCATACCCCGTGTAATTTTGCA